AATGGTCAATTTTCTACCACAAAGAAACAATAGAAATGGGGCTGGGAAGGTGGCTCAGTCGTAGAGCGCTTGCCTTGCATGCATGAGGCCCTGGGTTCAATTCCTCAGCACCACATAAGCAAAAAGAAAAAAAGCTGAAAGGTAGCGTTGTGGCTCAAGTGGTAGAGCACTAGCCTTGAACTGAAGAGCTGAAGGACAGTGCCCAGGCACTGTTCAAGCCCCATGACTGGACCCCTCCCCCCACAAAAATAGAATTTCTCAGAAGTAAATCTATTAAGATAAGACTATATATCTATAGGGCTTTTCCAACTGAATGCTTATGATGATCATGAAAAACATCCTTACAAAACAAATCACATTATTTTCATTAGAATGGCTATAATGCTTAATTTATAATTGGTCTTGATTTTAACCAATATTTTATAATTAAAATGAATGATCATGAAAAATTCTTAAACAGAAAGCACTAAAGACAGTTGAGTAAAATATATGAAATTAAAAGTTGAACAGATATCACTAAGGACTCTACTTTTGACATCCTACTTCTCTAACTCATGTTCATCCTTTCCTATTTTCATGGTTTCTTAACTTCCAGTAAGGTTTAAACTACATGGATAAATAAAAGCTTCTTATCTTTATTAGACTAAATTTTTTGTTGCTATAATCCAGTTAATGAGACCCACACTACAGACTAAGTAGGGAAATACATATAACACACTTCCATGCATATTACATTTTCTACTTCTTTTCCTTCATATTCAGTTATCCCAATAACAGGCAGATATTTTCAGAATAAAATGAGTATAGCTGTGGGCACTCTTCCATAATTGAGTCACACTGTAGTTCTATAAAGTAGTCTGCAACACTAGGCCAATTGAAATATTCTTTCTTAGGACTCATTTTGTCTTATGGCAGTTACTAACATGTCTCCCCATTTTCTCTTACTTGCCTCATGAGTGTGTAAATATAGAACCAGGAAGTACTAAACCACTATAAGTATAAATATAAAATAAACAAATAGCAAATTAAAACATTTTATATGATTTGATTTTAAAAGCCCTGAATACCATAGTATTGATTCAGTTTCAAATAATACTTTTTGAGTTAATTGAAATTTACCTTGCTTGGTAAAAGTCACTTATATTTTTTTAATTTGTTTGAAGTTTCCTATTTATACTTCATAATTCATATTACAAATATAGGTACAACTTAATTTAATGTCTCTCTTTGGTCAATTGCCATTATCTACTTCCCCTTAAATTTCTGTATTTTTTTTCATTTTTCATCTCATGAAAATTTTAGCAACTATCTACTCACAACTATTATTATTATTATTTACAGGTACTATTATATTGGTTTGGAAAATTATTCCTTTCCAAGCAAATCAATGCCTCTCACTTTAAAGTTTCTCTCATATTACTGATGTTTCTTCCAGGATATAATGATTTTGTTTGTAGTAAATACTAGTGCTATAGTTTGAATATTAAGTGTTCCCCCTGCCCCAAAACTGGTGTTTTGAAGGCTTCCATCTTTGATACAATAGTATTCAAAGGTAAGGTAAAGGGAGAGGTGACTAGTTCATGACAGTACAATATGCTATAACATATAAAGTTATAGGACATGAGTTAAATTAACAAATAAGGAAATGGGTTGTATCCAAGAAATGTAAAATTCATTTCACATTAGAAAACTTATGAATTAGAGTTTGCTATGTTAGTAGAGAAGACAAAACATTTAATCATTTACATGTAAGGGGACCACATGATTTTTTTGTTGCTTTGTATGTCCCTCCCCCATGGTATAACCCATTTTCACTGTATTTGATGTTGGTATAATTTGTGGAGGGGAAGGGAAAAAACAAATTGTTTAAACAGGGATACAGGTTGACCCATTGCAAGCTATGTCGGAAAACAAATTAAAAATTCCAAAAAGATTGTAACACAAATAATTCAAATATATAATGAACTTCAAAATCAGTTGTAGAGAATTAGTATAATAAAATTAGAAATCTAGCCATACAAAATAAATAAATACAATATATCATGGAAAATATATATCATTCTCAATAATAGCAATTAATGGCATTCTTTTTATAGTAAACAATTTTATAATTTGTATTGAACACCTAAAATTCTCAATAGCTCAATCCATATTGAGCAAAAAGAACAAAAAGGAGACATCACATTGCCTATTAAAAACTACAAAGACATAGTAAATATAGATATAATATAGGTATAGCACAATGTATCAGAACAGAAAACCTAGAAGAACATTTATACATCTACAGCCAATTAATTAAGGTGGTAAGAACATACTTTGGAGGAAGGAAAGTCTTTTAAGTAAATGCTGCTGGGAAATCTGGATATTCTCATGCAGAAGAATGAATCTAGACTGCCATCTCCTCCATAAAAGTCACCTCAAAATGGATCAATGACTTAAATGCAAGATCTAAATCTATGAAACCTCTGGAAAACACAAAGAGAATACTTTAGAACATCAGAATGAATAAAGAATTTGGGGGAAGATAGTATCTCAAAAGTACAGAAAACAAAGTAAAAATAGACAAATGGATTACATCAAACTGAAACACTTCTGCTCAGCAAAGGAACTAATCAAAAGACTGAAGATATAAACTTTGCATATTGTTCTTTGGAGTATAAAATCGTATTACAGACAACAGTACAAAGGTTGCTTGAGAATTTAAAACTAGAACTCTTAAATGAACTAGGAATTCCACTTCCAAGTACAAATTGGAAAGAAAGAAAATCACGACCTTAAAGAGACATCTTCAGTAAAACTCACAATAGCTAAAGAATGCAAACAACTTAAGCATGCTTCAACTAATAAGTAGATAAAGCAAATGTGGTACATATACACAAGAGAATTATTTTTAGCTACACAAACAATTAAATCCAATCATTTGCAAAAAGAAATCCATACATGGAACTAGAGATCATTGTGGTAAATAAAATAAGGTAGGCAAAGGAAAACAATTATTACATGACCCCATCCACATGTGGAATATTTATTTTAAAATAATGATATCATGGAAATTGAGAATAGAACAGCAGTTACTGGAGGATGGGAAGAGCAAGAGGGAGGGATGGAAGGGAAATGATTTATATTGTCATATTTAGGTAGGAATAAGAAATTCTATATAGTATATACTTCAAAGAGCTAAGTTTTGAATGCTTCATCATGATGAAACAATTAGTGTATGGGGAAATAAATACATGTATACTGATTTAACTAAAACAATGCATACATCAAATCATCACATAGTACCGAAGGTATATTTTCTTTTTTTTTTGGTCCGTCATGGGGCTTGAACTCTGGGCTTAGGCGCTGTCCCTCAGCTCTTCAGCTCAAGGCAAGCGCTCTACCACTTGAGCTACAGTGCCACTTCCGGTCTTCTGGTGTTTTATTGGAGATAGGAGTATCACGGTCTCTCCTGCATGGGCTGGCTTTGAACCGCGATCCTCAGATCTCAGCCTCCTGAGTAGCAAGGATTACAGGCGTGAGCCACCAGCACCCAGCTGGTATATTTTCATTTTTTATGTACCAGTCAAAAATAGCTTAAACAGGAGCAACATTCAAAATACCTCTATGAAGAGAATTAAATACATAATATTTATCAAAGCAAATATAAAAATACACTAATAGACTTAGTAAAGGTTTTCCTAAATAAAAATATTTATTCATGATGAATAAAATATTGTATATATATATCAACTTATCTTGAATTATTTATAGAGTTAATACCTTTTTGATGTGGTTAGCTTTCAGTCATAAAGCTCTGCCCATGCTGTCAGTTTTAAGAAGTTCTGGGCATAACTGCTATGCTTAGGCTCTACCTTCTTTATAACTCAGGATTTTCGGGAAACTAAACTGGTTTGAAAATTCCACTGACTAGCCTCAAAAGAAAAAGCCTTGGCCCTCAAGCTAAGTAAATGAAAGAATACATGAGAATTCTCTGTGAAACCCCTTCCTCCAAATGAGCAAACGATTGGAAGCCCCGCCCCCAGGGAGGATTGGTAGCCCCTCCCCTATGATTATGTTCCAATGGACCAGTTGCCGGAGCAACTATAATAAGACCCTCCCCATCCCCAACTTCCTCTTCAACGACTTCCTGCTTCTGGTTGGCCAGTTTCCCAGTTTCCTGGTTTTCCGGTTTTCCATTTTCCCCATTAATCCTACACTTGAAAGGTGTGCTGCTGCTGAGGAAAACTCATAGGAACCAGAATGTACCAAGGTATCTGGAATATTCTCCCTTCCTCATCAGAGCTAGCCTCATGAGACCCACTCCATTCTTCCCAACCGTTGGGCCTAACACTGCAAACTTCTTTTTATGGAAATCTGGGCTGGAAAAGAATAGTATGAAAGAAGTGACCTTTTGCTAACAGAAGGAAGAGTCATAGGACTGATCAGAAATAACTTGAGTTAAACCTGAGATGACAAGGTCCAATAAAATATACATGCTTGTCTTTTCCTAAAACAGTATTGTCAAGGTAACCAAGAGTGCAAGGTAACTATTTGGGGTTGGAGGCTGGCTTAGTTGGTAGAGTGCTAGTCAATAAGCGAAATCAGCAGGTACCAAGTTCGAGTCCTGGCCTTGGGGGAAAAAAAGAAAGAGCCTGGCGCCAGTGGCTCACGCCTATAATCCTAGCTACTCAGGAGGCTGAAATCTGATGTTCAAAGCCAGCCTGGGCAAGAAGGTCCATGAGACTCTTATCTCCAATTAACCAATAGAAAACCAGAAGTGGCACTGTAGCTCAAGTGGTAGAGTGCTCGCCTTGAGCTGAAGAGCTCAAGGACAGTACCCAGGCCCAGAGTTCAAGCCCCACAACCAAAAAAAAAAAAGGAAAAAAAAGAGAATTGGCCATTACTCTTGTTGTTAAGGAAAACACTATACTGAGGCTGCTCACAAAGCTCATCTTCTCTGTCTCTTCTAGGTTGACCACTTCTTCAGCCCAACTCCTACTGTTCCTCCTACGGTCATCATGCCTAGAGGTCAAAGGAGTAAGCAGCGTTCCCGTGGGAAACGCCGCAATATCCCGGTTGAAAATGGCAGTCCGATGGATAATGAGGCTACTCCAATAGAGACAGAAGAGGATCCTTCTGCTGCATCTTCCCCTGTTGAGAATCAAGCTGAGAGTGTTTCTATTGATGACATACCAAGCTCTTCTGAGATGCCAGAGGCAGCTGCAGCTGTTACCGATACTGCTGAAGACATTTCAAATAACGATGTCGAAGAAGGGGCCCAAAGCCAAGAAGATATGACTCCAGATCTCTCAAGAATCACTGATAGCTGGCGCAGAGATCCTTTAAACAGAATGGTGGTTTTGCTGGTGCAGTTTCTGATCGACAAGTACCAAAACAAAGAAACGATCATGAAGTCCGAGATGCTCAAGCTTGTTATCAAAAAGCATAAGCCTCAGTTCAATGAAATCCTCAAGAGAGCCTCAGAGCACATGGAGCTGGCTTTTGGTGTCGATTTGAAGGAAGTGGATCCCGTGAGGCACTGCTACACGCTTGTCAACAAGTTAGATCATTCCATTGATGGGCCAATGAGTGAAGAAGACAACATACCCAAGACGGGACTCCTAATGATTGTGCTTGGTCTGATCTTCATGAATGAGAATTATGCCCCAGAAGAAGAGGTCTGGGAAGTGCTGAATCTGATGGGTGTATATGCTAACAGAAGACACTTCATCTATGGGAACCCCAAAAAAGTTATCACTCAAGATCTAGTGGAGCTGCAATACCTGAAGTACCAGCAGGTACCCAATAGTGATCCTCCACGGTATGAATTCACTTGGGGTCCGAGATCCCTAGCTGAAGTCAGCAAAATGAAAATCCTGGAGTTTTTGGCTAAGATCCACGATTCTAGTCCCAGCGCCTTCCCATACTGGTATGAAGAAGCTTTGAAAGATGAGGAAGAAAGAGCTCAAGCTAGAATTGCAGCCAGGGCTCGCAACACTGCTGTGATGCCAAGAGCAGATTCCAAAGCCTCTTCTAGCAGTTTCTCCCAGACTAAATAAAATCTGAGGCAGATTCTTCATTTTTTCATTGCTAAGGTCTGTCAACTCTTCACAGGGGAGGGTCACTGTGGGCCTGAAGGGAAAAATGCATATTATCTTTATATTCCTATTATATATTGCTAACTTGTAGTTACCCTTTTTCCTTTTTTTTCCAGGTTATCTTTCAAAGATTGAAGTCTCAAGATCATTTTCTTCGTGGGCAAAAAGTGCAAGTGGTTATTCTAAATGGAATGGATCTGGGGAGAAAGTGTTAACTTTAGGTTTCTAATATACATTCATAACTTCGATTAATATTTTCCTTTTTTGTATTATCTTTTAAATAGTTTGCTCAATACATTTCAATAAGTCTAAAATTAGTAAGAAATATATTTGCACACATATTACTGCTTAATAGTTTTAAGAGTAAGAACTTTATTAATATGTTTATTATCTTTATTTTGTAGGACAGTAGTAAGCCATTCATATTTAGTGAATATTGATGAGGAAACATGGATATGATATAAGCATTCCTTGAAAGTGGGAAAAATTTGGCAGCAACTTTGGAGATCAAGAGAGGGGGAAGTATATAATTTTGTTTCTTGGCTTACTGTATTCATTTTTTTCTATAAGAATAAAAGATACTAACTAGATTCATTAGCTTACTAAGTAAAATATACAACAATAAAGCATTTATAAACAACATTTTGTGTTCAATGGCTTATTCGTTTTCCAAATTAGCATCTGGTCTTTAAAAGTCATTTTGTTTGAAAAGAAGAAAGTAAGATACAAGACAGTCCCCTCCTGCTTAGAATTTTAGAATCACATAATAAACATATAATGAAGATAGTTAAATACCTTCAAAGACCTATAGGACAAGTAATAAAAAGGAAGTAGGAAGGGATTTGGGAAAAGTAACAGGAAGTGTGCCCAGCTAAAAACAGATGAAAATTCAGTAAAGACATCCTTTGCAGTTTTTCAGAAATTACAAGTCTCCAAGTTAACTTTTTTTAAATTTTTATTTATTTTTTATTGTGAAAATACTGTACAGAGGGGTTACAATTACATGGGCAAGATAATGAGTACATTTCTTATCAAGCATTGTAGCCTCCTCCTTTGTTTCCCCTTCCCATCCTCCCCCCAGCCCTCCCCAATCCTCCCCGCCCCCCCACCAAAGTTGATACTGTGGGGGAGGGACATACAAAGCAACAAAGAAATTATCATATAAATGCGTTAGAAACAATCACATGAAAGAAAAAAAAACATTTGAATACATATCTTAGGATTCATTTCCCTAACATCACCTTATCTGACCTTTTCTGCTTGACTCAGACATATACTAGATATTGCAAATAAGGGAAACCATGGGACCTATGTTTCTTTGGGCTTGGCAATTTTTTCCAAGCCTTTCCATTTCCTAACAAATGGGGCAATGTCATTCTTTCTGATGGAGGCATAGAATTCCATTGTGTATATATACCACATTTTCTTCATCCATTCATCTACTGAGGGGCATCTGGGTTGGTTCCATACCTTAGCTATAGTAAATAATGCTGCAATAATCATAGTTGTGATTTACATATTGGTTTCCTCTTCTTATTCCATAAACAATGCAGCATAATAAAACTGTTGACATATCACTCACAATTAGGCTTAAGTAATTTGGAGATGAAGTATTTCATGAGATGGTGCACAGATCACATGCAAATACCATACTATTTTGTTTAAGGGACATGAGTGAGTTTTGCTATCCTAAGTAGGTGCTGGCACCAATCATCAAGAATACTGAAGGATGACTGTACCTTTAAGCTAGGAAGTGATCTTAATGAAGTCATAAGATACTCTCAAGGATTGTCTTCAAATGACAGGTATGAAAGGGCAAAATCTTGCCTTAAAGAATTACTTTGGTAGTGGGGCACTGTTGGCTTATATCTGAACTACTAAGACTAAGGACCAAGGTTCTAGGTCAGACTTGGGAAAAGTCTGTATGACTTTCACCTCCATATAGTCAGCACAAAGTCAAAAGTAGAAATGTGGCTCAAATGGTAAAATACCGGCCTTGAGTAAAAAAGTCAAGCAAGAGTATGAAGCAGACTTATTTTGATGACCTCAATAAACTAGAGGAAAGCCTTCTCCTAGAGCAGAAATGCATAGTGTCCTAAGCTCTTTTCCATATCCAGTTGAACACATTAACCAACTAGGGGTTTTATGCATAATATCTCCCAGGAATTTCTGAGAAATATGGGTAAAATTCACTTGAAGTTAGTATGTGCAGAAACTGTTGTCCTCGCTCTCTGACAGAGCTAGATCACAATGCTTTAAAGGTGCATTTAAACTAAGTTAATATGAGTGTAAAGCACTCTATTTAACAATGATTAAATGAATGAAAATAGAGGTAGCAAAATATCTGGGAGGGACGCTGGTCCTTGATAGATTCTAGAAACCTAAGTTGCATTGAGCTGAGGAAGATTTTGTCTAATTCATTTGGCCTCAAGTGAAGGAGGTTTTATATGTATTTACTAAGTATTATTATAGGAAAATTTGATATTGTCTTAGAAAGCTATCCATAGCCAAGTGCCAGGGACTTATGTCTGTAATCCTAGCTTCTCAGGAGGCTGAGATCTGAGGATCACAGTTCGAAGCCAGCCAGGGCAAGAAAGTCTGTGAGACTTATTTCCAATTAACCAGAAGTGAAGCTGTAGCTCAAATGGTAAAACATTGGCCTTGAGCACAAAAGCTCGGGGACAGTGCCCAGGCCTTAAATTTAAGCCCCGAGACTGGTACCATAAAAATAAAAGGAGAGAGTATGAGGAGAGAGAGAGAGAGAGGGGGGGGAGGGAGAGGGAGAAGGAGAGGGAGAGAGAAGCAAGCAAGCAAGCAAACAAGCTACCTGTTCTGAGGGGATAAGGGGGAAAGTAAATGCTTCCATAAGGGAAGGAGGTATTATCTATATAGGATTCATTCATTAAAGATAAAGTTTTCCACTCTGTCAAGTGCTTCACATTCATTGTCTATATTCTAGTAATCCTAAAAATAGGGTTTATCAGACATAATTTTCAGAACTTTCTTTAATTTACATGACTAATAAGTGACAGAGTTTGGGGAAAGACCTCTTGACATTTTCTGGAGCTCACACTTCTACATGCTTCCTAACTAGAAGAAGATCTTTTGTCTCTTAATTCACTATTTTTCTCACTAATCCAAAATGTATTACAGACAATTGAAAAGACTATCCAGCAAAAGTACTAAAAATAAGGGAAGGTGAGTTTGAGAATAAAGTCCATAATAAGGAATTCTTATGAGCATCATTTTCCAAGGATCCTTCTGTTATTAGTCCGAGGTTATCTTGTGAGTAGATTTTGCCCAAATGCTGCAGGTATATGAATCAAATACCAACTGTTTCTCATAATATAGATCCTTTTTCCTGGACATTTTTCTATGTGCCTTCAAGTCCAAACTGAATCCTCATCTGCTAATCAGCAGCACTTCATGGCTTCCTCTAAAGACTGTACCCTTACTTTCCAGATCACCTGCCTACCCATAGACATAGAATGTTCCACCGTTTACCAGGGTCTTTTTGTGGGACCACTGACATTGAATTTAGGTATCCAATTACCTGAAGTACTTTACCATCCTATATCTCTACAACAGGTTCAAAATGAATTCTAAGTAAATTGATGATTTAAGTCTGATTTCTGATTTTGCACAGAACATATTGGTTCTTAACATATAACTGAAGTTCAAGACAGAATTTGTAAACAACTCATATGTCAGGAAGATTTCAAAGGTGTATGTTATCTAAGTAATATACCTGAACAAATAGACAGATAGATGAACTTAGAGTATCAAAAATCAAGCCTCAAGCATTGTTGCCTCTGCTCTGTATGGTATTTTCACAAAAAAAAAAAAAAGCTTGAAGGAGAGCTGGGGCTCAAGGAGTAGTCAGCTTTGAGTAACAAAGCTAAGGGAAAGCATGAAGCCCTGAGTTGGAGCCCTAGTACCAGGAGGGGAGGGGAGGGGAGAAGAGAGGAGGGGAGAAGAAAACTTCCACTGTACTCCAAGGATGTTGTATTTAATAAACACATGCATGGAGCAAAAAAAAAAAATCAAGCCTCTTTCATAACCTAGAGATGAAAAAAGGCATGAAAATCACTGGAAAGAAACATTTCCTGAGGATGAATTCTTCAAACCAGTTCATAATATGATTTTTTTTTCTTTTTCTTTTGGTATTAGTGTTTGAACTTAGGGATTTGCCATTGCTAAGCAGGCACTCTACTACTTGAGCCATGCTTTTGCTGTTTCGTGCTTTTCCCCCACTATCAGGGTAAGAACTCAGGTCTTCACACTTGCTTTGCTTTCTTGCTCAGCTGATGTTCTACCTATTGAGGCATATCTCTAGTCTTGCCTTATGCTGGTTACAGATGTGACTCTGATGACTTTTATCTCTTGTGCTGGCTTTAGACCTCAACACTCCAGGTAGGACTAAAGGCATGAGTTACCAGTTCCTAGCTTGCTCTGGTTAGTATTGAGATAAGGTCTCAATTTTTTTCTGGACTAGCATAAATGGCAATTATATGTTCATGTTCAATGAAGCACTGCTCACAATAAATACTCAAGCTATGGGAATAGACCAGATACCCTAGAACTAATGAATGTATCAAGAAGATGTGGTAATAAACATAATGGAATATTATCCATCCACAGAGAAGAATGAAATTGTTATTTGTAAGGAAATAGGAATTGGATGGAACTGGAGACTATCATATTACAAGAGTAATTTAGATTCACATACTTCCTCTCACATGTGGATGCTAGACCTAAAAGATAAACATATACAGAAGCGCACACAGGATTGTATATATGTACACACATACACACATAGATGTAAATAGAACATTTTTGTAATTGTGGGACAATCTGAGAGGACTGAGGGAAAGAGAATTTTACAAAGGGAACAATGTTGAAATATATGCCATCTATGAATGAAGATAGAAAAATGAAACCTGCTACTGGGTATAGACAGT